ATTACAGACAAATCATCGTCCGACGTATGGTGACAATCTAGCTACTGAATGAGAGAGCCAATAACTTTTTGGCAGTTGTGACCTAGTTTGTATTGATTATTTTAACAGATAAAACAAGGAATTTCTTTATCTGAGTGTCATGTAAGAATTGATACCATAGAGAAATTAAAGTAAGAAAAAATGGTCTTTTCTACAAGCTCAAAATTAAACACTACAAGTACACTGTCAGCACCTTAAAAAAAAGCCTCTTGTCAAATTTAGATCAACTGCCATAAAGTAGTGGTTGGACAACATGTGGTCCTGGTACTGCCTGCATTGGGGTTACATATACAACAAATGCAAACATATGGTCCTTGTCATGCAATGATATCCATGCAGGCATATTTTTGCCTATGTGAAGAGCTCTGCTTGCCTCAGAAAAGCTCTCGATGCAGGCACTAGTCTGTGCAAGTGGCATGCTGAGGTATCTAAGACTAAACGACTAAACTGAGAAGTTTAAATAAAAATAGGCACTTGCTTTTTTTTCCCCTCTGTACAGCCCTGGGTAAATAAAGCCATTCACAGAACACTCACTAATCTGCATGAACTGTATCCTTCAAACTTTTCTTCTTTTTTTTAAGTAAATGGATTTTAATCTAGGAATTTGATTTCTACAAATTGTTGGTGTAAAGGCACTGTGGACTAAACAATACAAAAGAAGAAAATCAAGGGAAATAGTTTGGCTTTTTTGCCATATGCTGGCATGTAAACCATAAAAGTGACAAACACACAAATATGCCACAATGGGAAACTATGCGCTGATCCCACGCAATAAATTGCAACATGCTGTATGGTACCGTTTAACAATAGTGCAAAAATAACTGTAGGAAACTCTGGCTAAGATGGCCCACAGACAGTTTTGGAAGGGATGATGCATCAATAGAAAAACTACAAGTAGAATAAATGAATTATCTTAAGCCTACTGAAAACAGGAAACCAAGAACACTTCTATTTTCAAGTGACATTTATTATCACTCTCCCCCCTTTTTAAGCAGACAAAATAGCTAAATTTAACCAAATATTTTTCAAGAAACACATCCATTTTATTATGTTCATATTTACTTGCTGTAAATATCAAGAGAAACATTAAGTAGATTTTTTTTTTATCCATCTAAGCCACTTTTTCCATTTGAATTTCCATATAAAGAAACGATAATCTGTTCCACAAAGCAACAGAACTATTGAAGCTTGGTTTTCTATGATAGCTTATTGTCCTCCCATGCCACCTCGTTACCTTTATTATGCAAAAGACAGCAACAAATGCTGTGGTTTGTCCCAAGCTTTGCACACACTGACTGGGCAGCAAGCTGCTGCCAACAAAGAGAAAAGGTAGCAAATGAGTCCCTTCCAAAGTCTTCTCAGTGAAGCACTTATATCTTTCTGATATCCAGACACCAAGAAATACACAACTCATAAAACATCATTACTTTGAAACTTTGATCACCTTTGCAAACAGCTTAACAAATGCTAAAGTCAGTGCAGGGAGAAGATGTACAGGCCAAGAGGGTGAACCTCACGTCCTTAGAAAACCAGACTAGATGTGAAACACACTCACAAAAGGAGTAAACATCACCCTTGAATTTTATTTCAGAATTGAGGGAAAAAATAGAGAGCTGACAGTCACAGGACAAAACCACCATCAAACAAAACAAAAGAAAAAGTTAAAAATCCTGTCCTTAATGTGATTCAAGCCTGAGATGAATCAACAGCTCTGCTCATCAGTTAGGGAACGGCACAGTACCAACCCCACACCATGACTGTATAGCACAGAGAATCATTTTTGGAGACAAGCAGTTGTATCACAGTTACAGGAACCAACAAATGTAGATACAGATTGATAAAATGAATACGGATTCTGACTTTCACACACTAGTTTGCATTTTCATAACTTCTCCAGTGTATTTCAGTGAAGATATTGTCCATCTGCATCATATTTCAACAGAAGAGGAATAATCAAGTCAGACATATACGGGTGACTGGGGTGGAGAGATTTTGTTATTTAAGATATTCTCTGAAAAGCAGGGAATCAAGCTTTCCACCCTACCCCCCCCTCATTTTGCCATTCCTATTGTGTCAAACAAAACCAAAAAAGCCAACCACCAAACCAAGAATGAAGTCTCACTCAGTTTCCTCAAATACTGCCAAGACAAGCCCCAATTCCCAAGCCACCCTTCTGCACTCAAGTATTCCCATGAACTTAGCGTATGCTCTTTTCTCCAGAAAAGGGAAGTACGTTATAGCGAAAATCTAAGAGTATGGAATGACACACGGCCACCACATGCTTCCCCACATCAGAGCTTAGTAACATCAGCAAATATATGTGAATTTTAGTACCTCTATCAATAAGCAAATTTGCTAATTTTAAAATATTGCCTTACAACAGACAGAATAGGTCACAGCCAAAATACTAACTGAAAAATGGAACAAGAAAGCATTCCAGTATTATTCCAGACCACTCTTGACCTTAAACCTACTGATCTAAGCACAAAAAAGAGAAACTCATGTTCTCGAATCCCCTTCTGAACTCCGGCACAGACCTTTGCTGTGGCATCAGACAAGAAACCAAACACCTTGTCTGCATCTGCAAGCCTGCCTAAACAACGCTGTAATTTATTCATCCTTTAAAATAAATCACAGATAATAATCCTTTATGCGCAAATACCTCAAGTTTGGGGAAAAGAGCTTGTTTCAGCCAGTTTGTCAGAGGCATGAAATAGGCAATATCACGCAAGACGAGAAATCTGAAAATAATATTTAGCGCGGAATGGAAAAACTGCTGTTATATAACATAAAAAGTCCAATGTAGTCATGCCTTAATATTTTCCAAAAAAGCTAAATCATGTTATTCTCAGAATACCTTTAGCAACATACCTTCTTGGTCGAAGACTGATTTAGCTTCTTGCGATGTCACAAGAAGAAAAATGGCTTTGGTACGGAATATGCAAAATATAAATTTCTTAAATTCCAAAATGGATTTTTCTCATCACCCACTTCATTTAAAACCAGTTTATTTTAAAACAGTTAACTAAGCCTTTTACACACACTTTTATAAACTGAAGTCTCAAACCTGCTATCACTTTTAGTGCCAATACATGTTATGTGTTGGTTCTTTTTATTTCAGAGGGATAATCAGTATGCATACTGCTAAACATGCAATTATTTTGCAGGGCTGCAGCCCATGTTAAACAAGTCCTAGAGAAAGGACATAGATAAGGTTTGGGTTGTCCCACTAGTACATCTCTGAGACCAAAAAAGAGAGTTTTCATAGTGATGAGAACTTCATGGCTATATAGAGAGTGACTCAATCACAACAAAATCCAGTGGAGGACATCTGTTCACTTAACCTCACACCTCATTAAGGGACATTTTTATTTGCTTGTTTCTGCTATGACTGTCAGGTGCCCATTGATCTAAGTTACGGTCACACATGTTATTTTGCAAGTATGATGAAGCATCTTCAAAAGTTAATTACAGCTGTACTGGGCTTCTTCATCAGAGGCAAAAATGTAAATGTTCTATTTCATGGTGGTACTGAATCATGTCCTTAGTGAGGGTCCGGAGCGGAGAGATGCAAAAATCTCTCAATAGGTATGTGAGAGGAGAGTGGTTTTGTAGCCATCCTCCAAAACCCATTGGAAAAGACTGAAAATGCCCAGAGATCAGAATTTTCCTCTTGACATCCCTTTCTTTCTTTACTGACTGCGGAGGAAGCACAGTGCAATTAATGTCCTATCGTAGGCGCCTTGAACAAGGACCTAAAGCCAAGAAGATGTGTCAAGACTCTACAAGAGAACCTAGCAAATAAGAATAGGTCTTTGGCAGCCTTCCCACATGAGCTGGAGCAAAGTACTTGGGCTGTCTATGTTTCAATTCTGTGTGTGTTAAAAAAAGGATAGCATTACTGCCCCAACCCACAAGGGCACAATAAACACATTAATGATTATTATGCCCTCTGAAAATATGGTAATGAAGGTTTTAAGTATAAGCACCATCATTAGAAATGTTTCTATGCATTTATTTTCACTTAACAGCTCTCTCCGTTTTGCAGAGCTTCCTTAGACAGCGATCTTGCAGCAGAACTTGGAGTGACCCTCAAGCCATGCCCACCAGAAACTTTAGAGGATTTGTGAAAAGGGCTCAGTTGATGCACCTTCATAGTAATAGAGATGTAATTCTGCTTAGCAGGGGATTGCAGGAGCAATCCCCACTTGGTCAACATCCACAGAGGATGATGACAGATGCTTCTGGGTTTATTTCTTTAATTACGTTTCACAGGCAGTGTAATTTCTTAGAGTCTTCTCAACTACTAAATTCCATTACCACCTCCATTCCCTGACAGCTCTCCTTGGCACAACAAATACAACTTTAAGAAAGGACACAAGGGACACCAACCCCAGTGTGCAAAAGCCTTCTGTAACGACCCTGTAGCATGCCCTGCTCAGCTTCAGTAGACAACTGCACCAAGCAGGAAGGCAAAGTCTGCTCTCCAGCCCCAGAAAACAATTCCATAAAAGCTTTACAACTGTGCTGATTTCCACCTTGCTTTTTCTGCACCACTTCACATAAGGTAGAATGCTGTACCACAATGACATCACTTTTTCTCATTAGGCATTTAAAAGCAAAAAGACTGCAACTGAAATCCTTCAAAAAGGATATTTTTAGTTAACTCTGAGATAGAGCAGGGAGCTAAAAATGTACCCCTCATCCCAAGAACCCCTTCTCTGACTTCATCTTAAAGCTGAAAATCACAGTATTTGACACAGGGTACATAAAGATCTTCAAGTCATAGAACACAATGACAAGAAAGTGAGAAAGACAAGGAAAATGGCAAATATTGGACTAGTCAGGACTATAAGATCAGGCACACAAAAATCTGGCGAAAAATAATTGTTTTACAGCTAAAAGCACAAACAGAGGAAACCTTGACGGGGGGCAAAAAAAAAAAATAACGTGAACATTACCTTAGAAATTCACAGCCTAGTCATTCATTTGAAAGATCTCTTCGAAGCAGCTGGTTTAGACTCTGGAAATCAAAATAATAATAAAAATATAATTAAGATAAATACATTTATTATTATTATTATAATTCTGGAACATCTTATAATAGGAGTTAATAAAAAGATAATCTTCCACTTCGTGTAGCCCCATGCCTGCTCAAGAAAACACTACAGATCTGCTGTAAGGACACATGGGCATTTGCAGAACCCGCACTAGTTTAGCAAATACATTAGCAGAGGCGTACGGTTACTTTACCAAGAGATAATTACTTCTCCCCCCCCTTCTCTAAATATGATAAAAAATACATTATTTAAAAATTAAAGGCATTTAGAGTAATAGCCCTCCAAATGCATAGTATTTATTTCTTCTTTTATCATCCATAGTTTATGGCATTGTTTGGGTTTTGGTGTGCTTTTATTTTTTTCTCCTGCAGTTTACTTAGTATTAGACTTACACTCATCTCATCAATAAGAAATGAATTTTCGTAACTTTCAAAACCACTATATTATTTTTCCTTTTATTTGTAGTGAGTTTTTCTTCTCTCAGTGGTATTACTGCAATAAGTCAGTCATTATTTCTTTATGTTTTCCCTCCTTTCTTTAGTATTTCATTTCCCTTTACAGCACATCTCGTGATCACAAAGAAAACAGAGACACTTATTTCTTTTAACAGTTGAAATTGCTGCAAGTGATTTAACTGTCATTTAATCTGATTCTTCTCTTCTGTCTGTGGAGAAATATGTTTAATGTACTGGAAATTATGTTAATAAGAAAAAGCATTATCTCATTTAATGAAATAAATATACAAATATTTCAAAATAAAATAAAGAGGCAATCTTCACTGAGGAAAAAATGTCTCTTATGGTTTGCATAAAATAAACAAATGAGAAAAATTAATGAATACGCTGAAATATACTGACAAAAATTATGCCTAAACTCAAAAGGGAAAAAATAAAAAGACAGTGACTAAATTGCATCTCACCTAATCAAATGCTTTTTGAGAAAACACAGAAGCAAGCTTAAAGGATCAGAGTACAAATTATTTTTTAAAATTATTTTATTACCCTAGGCTAAACCTTTTTCCCCTCCTTTAAAAAAAACATGTTTTCCCTTTCTTTTTTTATTTTCTTCAATTGGTGTTGAAATAATATTTATTGTTTAATGACTGCAATTGCTTCATCCTTTAATTATCTTTGATCCTTTGCCACAAAACATATTTAATTTATGGCAAAGAACTTTGAACCCCTCTGATTTAGTTAATCATAACAGTCAATAAGTCTATTTCTAAGCTTTTACATTATGAAGTATGTAACTAGCATGCACTAAGGTTAAACAAATATTGTTAGTAGTGAGAGAAAAACTTGTAGCAATTATGTAATAAAAGCATGACCACTGCAACAGAAACACATAATTAGCGATTTAATTACAGACATCAAAACAAACTAAAGATGTCAATAAAAAAAATCTTCTGTGACAAACTGATTTCATTTCCCTGTTCTGCAATTCTAGATCTTAATGCATTTCTTTATGTTTTCTTGTTTTCCAGAAATAAACAGCGCAAAACAAAAAGAAGATATTCAGTCTCATCTGTTCGGGTGAGACTGTGGTAGAAATTTGATTAAATCCTGGGTTTACTTTCTCACTGGCAAGAATCAGTGCCTTAAATCCATCCAACGGTGCATTTTTTTTAAACTTCCCTTCAAAAAGACCCAGCAGCGATGAGTATGCTGCGTTGCAAATTCATTTGGGGAGTCTCAGTCATTTGTGTCACATACCTTTTCAAAGCATTTGCTAAGTGCACTAGTTTCTCTCTTTGATTCCCCTCTCCTTACAAAGTGCTATGGATCATAACAGCTCCAGCTCAGTCACTTCTGCTACCAAGAATAACTACCAAGAGCAAGATGTGTAAAGATCTCAAGTTCCTTTCTTACTTGAAATACATAGTTTTACTTTCCTGCAGTTCTCCTTTTGGTTTAGACACTTACGGATCTGAATTTAAGCAGGACAGAAGCTATGCAGTGAGTGTTTTGGGTTAGTATATAACAGGTTGCCTTTTATTTTAAAAAGCATCTAAAAATCCTTACAGTGAAATTCTAAATCCACTGAAGTCAGTAACAAAACTCCCACCAGCTTCAATGGAGATTTCAACCTGTGTTTCCAGAGGCTTCCTTATTGCTAGTCAACTTCTATTAAAGCTGTAAGACATTGCTTTCCTCCCGAAACAGCCATGGAGAAAAACACAAATCTAGATACGCCACTCCTTACAGAAATCTTCTGTCCTGAGGTCCTACACCTGATTCATCTTGATTGGATGCTTAAACTGCTTGTGATCATTACATTACATACAAAGCAAATAAGACAGAAAGTGGTTGCTCTGAACTGTAGATTATAATTCATATAAAATAAGTAATCCGTTTAAACATATTTTTTTTTAAAAGTATATACATATATACAAAACCAGACTCTGTACAAATACCAGGATTTGTTTTTAATGCTGTACTTTCTTTTTTCTGCTAAATTTCAATTCCACAGAAAATATTCCCTACAGCTTTTGTGATCAGGGTTTACAGAGATATTGAGGAGAGGATAACCCTATATATTCACTGCTTTATTTTTCTAATTCAAGGTTTACAGGGCATTTAATAACAAAAACCTAAACCCCATTGTATTTCTTTTATAACTAGAGTGAAGAACGTTCAGCAGTAGAAATGAATTAGGAAATTACTCTCCTGCCGTGAAAAAACATTACATGGTTAACATGCAGATATGCACTCAAAAAAACCCCACTAATTCAATAAGACGGGAAAGTAGGAGGTTTAGTATAAAACCCTCTCCACTTCAGTAATGCGAAAGTCAATAATTGACAGCGATAACTTGCCTTATAAAGACACAATGCACCTTGACAACCAAAACACAACATGCAGAGAAGATCTTTGGTGTGCAGGGGTGGGACAGGCGTGTCCCACCAGGTCCTGACTTAATCGTGCCAGATCACCACACTGCACCGACCCAAGGGTTGGACCTCTGTCAGAGAAGGACCCGTAAGCTTGCTCTGGAGGGGCTTCCTGAGGTAAACCTTCAAAAGAAGACAGGCTCCCCACCCTGAAAATGCCTGTCCAAAGACTTTGCCCGAGCCAGAAAGAGCAGGTCAGGGAACAGCACTACGCCGAGTGGGGACAGCCCAGCCAGGGAGCGTTTCAGACACCTCCAGGTCCAAAAGTGGCTCCAGGCTCCAAAGCGCTCTGGATTACACCCACAAATTTGGCCAGTTGAAAAATTATAATAATCCCAGCTACTCCTGTTGTAACAATACTTTAGGGAGCTGGATCAAAAGTCTGGAAGTACTAATATTTTTTATTCCAATGTCTTTTGAGTAATCAAAAGACTATTGACACGAGCAAACCATCTTGTCAAGTTACAAAGAAAGAAACCCCAAAATCTCTTTTAAAAAAGGCATCTGTTTCTAACCAGACCACCTTAAACTTGCATCTACAAATATCTGTAAACTCTTCCTGACAAACCTGAATTTTTTTCCATTCAAGTTTTTGAAAGGCAGACATCCTTTTCTTTTCAAAAGGATACTTCTAATGCAAAAGGCTGATTTTTTAAAGCAAAATCAAGTAAATCAAAGTTTCTGAAACCAACACCTCCTTTCTGTTTTTCTTTTGTCTTCTTATTAACACCTTTTTCTCTTTTCCAATTTCTGGTTCTACTCTTGATAGGAAAAAAGGGGGTGGAAGGAAACAGCAAACCTACATAAGGTGGTACTCGACAATAAATTTGACTACAAGGGAATTTTTTCACTGCTGTCATCTTGCACATTAAGCTTTTCTCAGTTTAAGGCTAAATATGGATGAAATCAAGCCCAGGACTTATCCCTTACATCTGCAGAAGAAATCTACAAATATAGCCCCTCTCTGCCCATGCTGGGAATGAAAATATAATCCCTCCTTGATGGGTACAGCTTCCCCTGTCTTTTAGGATCCATAAAGTTGTCATGAAAAAGGATGGCACAGAGAGATCTTCATGACCACATCTCCAGCTCCACTCATCTTTCAGCCCATCACACTCCCCTTGTGGTCCAGAAGACAGCAATGCCATGAAAGCAGTTGTGTCTATTTGGGCTGAAAGCCTTCCTACGCAAAGAGCTCCTCCTCCTCTGCGGACAGCCCAGCTGGAACCACCAGGGAGCATTTGCCACTGCACAACCTCTGCGGCAAGTCACTAATCACACCTGCAATGTATGGATGTTTGCTTTAACACTGGTGGCAACACGGAGCATGACCACGCAGATGTAATGCTTTGTGCCTGTTGCCAGACCTAAGGATGAAACTGCGGGTTTACCCTGCAGTATGTGTAGCACAGTCAGTTGCTTCTGTTACTCCTTCAGACCTTTTGGCTCCTGGAGACTGAACACCCCACTGCCACACAGTCTGTGACATCAATACAGAGACTGAAAGCTCGAAGTAAAGAGCTAATAGTATCTTACGTACTTCTGAAGTTTCTCCTGCCTCTTTCATGTAATTTCTTTAGCCTTTTATCAGTCTTTTTAAACATATTTGAATTTATTTGATTTTCACATTTTCTCTCTCTGTTCTTTTAATGAAAAGAATTAATTTATGTACCTTTGAACAGAGCTGTCCGCTTTCCCACAATGCAATAGGCCGTTCTTTTTCTCAAAATGGGAGTTGTAAAAAAATGGGAGTCATAATTTTCAAGTCTGAACCTCAGTCATGTGCACAAATACTGAATCTAGAAAATCAAGTAGGTGCTTGAGACCAGAAAATGGAAATATATCTTTTTTTTTTTTATTTGTATTTCTCAAAGCACACATTTTTGCAAACAGCACTGTATTGCTTCCATCTACTCTGCAGAAATACATCATTAACCCAGCAATACTGAAATTTCACTAGAACAAGAGAACAGAGAATTTCGGAACAGGAGGCAGAGTAAATGTATATGGTACCTAAGCTTTGCAGACCTATTTCACTTATGTTATGCAGATTGCAAGTGTTGATTCATTTGATTTACATCACAGAC